GAGACAGGGATGGGGTAGAGGAGAAGCAGTGAGAAAGCACGCCCCATGGAGAATGGTCTTGTTGGAATCCCTTCTCTTTTATGTAATTTTCCCTCTTGTCAGGATTCTGGACACCTGAACATACACACCTAGCATGTTTTTTAAGCCACCAAGTCTGGGATTCAAAACCATGCAATTGCTCATGTGGGATCTAGCTGCCTTAACCACCAGGCCACTGGCTGGCCCTGAAGACTCTTATAGGGTCTTTGGTATAAATGTTAAGCACAATTCTTTAGCCATGTAACTAGAACTATCATGTCATAGAGAAGGTGTATAATCTGCTAAATATAGAAAGGACTTCTAGGGGCCAGCAGGTGGTGTGGTGGTTAAGATGCTGAATTCCCACATGGCTAACCATAGTTTGAGTCCTGGATCTGACAGTTTATTTTCTCATTTTCTCTCTCTCTCTCCCTGGTGAGTGTGGGTGCTCTATAGCAAATTTAAAAGAAAATAATAATAATAATAATAAAGTTAAGTAAATAATTTTTTTAAAAAAATTTACAGAATTATTTATTTAATTTTATTTCTTCACTCATTTATTTTATTATTTATTTATTTTTTGGGAGAGGTTTTCGCTATAGGGTGCATGCGCTCGCCAGACAGACAAAGAGAGACATAGAGACAGAAAGCGAGAAATCACCCCCCAGGGGGGATGGCCACACCGCAATCCCTTCTCCTCCATTCTCCTCTCGGGATCTTGGGCATGCACGCACACGCGCCTGGCATGAGTTTTAAGCCACCAGGTCCGGGACGCGAACCGCGGTCGACTACGTGGGAGTCCAGCGAATAGCCATTACGCTAACTGCTAGTTCCCTTCACTCATTTATTTTAATTTGACCAGAAAGAGAGACAGAGAGAGAGGGAGAAAGTAAGCCACCAGGTCCAGGACTTGAACCGTGGTTTGCAATGTGGGAGTGTCCAGCACCTTAATCACCACACTGCAGGAGTGTCTAGCACCTTAACCACCACGCCACCTGGTGGACCCCTGTTTTTTACATTTTTTTTTTTGAGAGTTTTTTTTTTTTTTTCACTATAGGGGGTATGCGCTCGCCAGACAGACAGAGAGAGACATAGAGACAGAAAGCGAGAAATCACCCCCCAGGGGGGATGGTCACGCCGCAATCCCTTCTCCTCCATTCTCCTCTAGGGATCTTGGGCATGCACGCACACGCGCCCAGCGTGAGTTTTAAGCCACCAGGTCCGGGACGCGAACTGCGGTCGACTATGTGGGAGTCCAGTGGCATAGCCATTACACTAACTGCTGGTTCCCACCTGTTTTTAAAATTTTTTTTAAAGAAAGGAATTCTAAACAGTAATCCAAAGTGGTTATATAAATTTATATTCCTACCAGCAATGTATGAGAGTCCTCACTTCCTCCACATCCTTGATAACACTTAGAATCACTAATTTTTAAAATTTGTGGTTGTATCTCATAATTTTTATTTGCATTATGATGATGAATAATGGTCTCTTCTTATGTCTGTCAGTGATTTGGATACCCTCTTCTGTAAGGTGCCTAACACCAAAACTTGGTTTTGTGACTCAAATCTGAATTATCATCAACAACAACAACAAAAGGATACCAACTTGTAGTGCTGGTCAGAGACACAGAAATCATTTTAAGGTAATATCAGTTAAATATACCTAATATGGAAGATTATGGTAGATAGAAATATTTCTATTAGCTGAGCTATTTGGACTTCTTATAGTTACTGCAATGTAGAGGTCTGTGCCCATTTTTCTACCTTTCATTTATTCATGAATTCGTTAAAAAATGATTACATATCAGTGTATGCCAGGCACTGCACCTGGGATCAAGCATGAGCAGTGCTGGATGGCACAAACGAGCTGACTAAGGAGCTACCGCAGACCATGCCATCCACCTCTAGGAACCTGTACCTCGAGCTCTGTTCAGTCCTATGACAGAGAGGGCCCCAGACAGTCTGAACATCAGCATGACATACAGCTGCTGCCACACAGAGGGCAGACAGGAATGGGTCTGACACCTAGGTGATCTACTGGGTTGTCAGAAAAGTCATGACATATTTTTTTCTATGCAAAAATGCATCATGGCTTTTCTGACAACCCAATTCTTAGGTGTCCTTTACAACTAATTTGCCTAATTTCAACAGTAAGTGGACAAGCACCTTAGCCATGGCCTAGAACTGACATGATAAACAGAGGCTCAGATTCCTCAGGGATAAGGGCTACGGTCATCCCAACCGAGGGAGAAAAAACCCCTTGCTCAGGTCATAGATGAGTCAGGTGATGTGAAGGACTACAGCTACACTATAGCCCAATTCCAGCCACCCAAACCTGGCTCCTTTCTTTTCCCCACAGGTGCTGATCCTAAGAATGCTCATTAATATACTTCCTGCGTACTGTTCCAGTTCATTCTACTCCCTGAGAGTACAGCCTACAACAGTGTCCAACAGAAAACCAAATACCTTCGTAGACTTATAATCTAGTAATTGTATGTATATGAATTAATATATGATTAATGAAGTTTTGTTATTTTTAAAATAGTTGTCCCTTTATTACTTAAGCATGTTGAATAAGACATGTGATGTCTCTTTAAAAAGACATGAAATGGAAGATAAGTATAAAAATAAAATAATAATTACTTAGGGTGGTTGTACAGAAAAGAGTTAACACTCTTCACACAGAACATAGTTTGCACGATTGGCCCTTTGCTGGTGTCTGGGAACATAACTAGTAAATAGTTACCTACACTGATAAAAAAAAAATTTCCCAAAATGACCAGAATGACTTCATATACCTACAGTTTGTAAAAAACAATAGTTTATATTGAATACCAGTTTTCCATCTAGGAGTCTGGAATTTCAGTACATGCAGTGCAGAGAAAGCCTACATAATTTGCTCCCATAAAAACACTGGGTACTGGGTCAGCTGGTGGCATGGTGCTTAAGGCAGCTGGATCCCACATGGCTGGCTGTGTGGTTCAAGTCCTGGATCCAGTGGACTATAAAACATGGGGGGCACATGTGCTCAAGATCCTGAAGAGAGGGAGAAATGGAGGAGAAAAGACTGGCATGACCATCCTTCTTGGAGGTGTGTATTTAGTGCTTTTTCACTTTCTCTCTCCTTCTCTCTGTCTCTCTTTGATGAGAGCATGTGCCCTCTGTCTTTGGTGAGTGCATATGCCCTCTGGCAAAAATTTGAAAAAAAAATCTTGGGTGCAAAGAATCCAACAACTTCCTCTAGGAGATAAAACTTCATGTTGTTCCAACTATTGTCACAACTCATTGCTGGAGGAATTATGTTTGTCTTCTTCTCAGAGGACAGTTGGAAGCTCACACCTAGTTTTCTCAGACTTCATCTCAGGTACATTTCTCCTGCGCTGATTTTGCTTTGCTTCTTTTTGCTGTGATAAATCTTAGTCATAAATACAAATGCATACTGAGCATTTCTACTGAATCCCTGAAATATGAGTGCTCTTAGAGACCTGTGGTGTGTGCGTGTGTGTGTGCGTGTGTGTGTGTGTGTGTGTGTGTGTGTGTATATATATATTTTTTTTCTTTTACAAGGCAGTCCTTCTGGGGAATTTAAACAAAATTATTATTTCCAATGATGAAAAAGTATAAAGATAATGAATTATAATTGAAAACATTTATGAATATTCAAGAAAGAATATATTGTGACCCATCCAAGCCAAATACTGGACAAAATGTTACTACATCATTATTATCTACCACAGAAATTTTATATTGCATATACTTGAGTGCCTATTGTCTTTACCTATATTTGAAAAGAATTCTTAATTACAGCTAACTTTTATCCTGGTTTAATTTTTTATAGTGTTAAGTTACACATGAATATATTCCTGTATGGGATGAGGTTACATAAGACAAGTGTTGCCTGAGTAATTCATCTGTGCTTAGTACGGAATCAAGAAAAACTGTGTGTAGATATAACCTCCTAAATTCATAAAATATTCCTCTGTTCTTTTCTTATCTTAGTTTTTGCCTCCCTCTTCCCCCCAGAAAGCAAGGTTTAAACTGCACTGTAATCTACATTGTTCAGTGTCCACTACAATGAACATATTTCCTGATTAAAAGGTTGAAGCTAGAGGGACCAGCAGTTGGCTAATGGCTATGTCGCTGGATTCCCATAGTTGACCATGGTTCAAGTCCCGGACCCGGTGGTTTAAACTCACGCTGGGTGCGTGTGCATGCGTGCCCAAGATCCTGAGAGGAGAATGGAGGAGAAGAGATTGTGGCATGGCCATCCCCCCGGGGAGTGATTTCTTGCTATCTGTCTCTCTACATTTCTCTGTCTTTCGAGCGAGTGCATATGCCCTATAGCAAAAACTTCTAAAAAAGAATAATAAATAAATAAAAATTAATTAATTTTTTTTAAAAAAAAGGTTGAAGCTGGGACAGCAGATGGCATAATGGTTCTGTTGCTGGACTCTCACATAGTTGACTACGGTTTGAATCCTGGACCCAGCAACTTAAAACTCACACTTGGTGCGTGTGCATGTATGCCTAAGATCCCAAGTGGAGAATGGAGGAGAAGAGACTGTAGTGTGGCCATCCCCCTGGGGGTGATTTCTTGCTTTCTGTCTCTCTGTTTCTGGCAAATGCAAGCGCCTCCTAAAAAATCTAAAAAAATGTTTAAAAAGGTTAAGGCTGACACTTTAATTGTAGTTACATTGTTGTTAATGGAGCCATTTACACTCTCCTTGGATACAGTATCATATTAGTTTAAAAAATAAGATCCTATGTTTGAGTTCCAAAAATATTTCTGGGATCTAAAATAATAATAATAATATAAATTGTGATGAGAGATCATGAAATTCTTCAAGTTTTCTTACCATCTGCTATTTTATTTTGATACTATAAAATCTAGAAGTTTAACTTTCCAAAAAATAATGGACACCTGTTTTGCCAGTAACATTCACATGCAAATATAATTAGAAAAGATAGAGCTAGACTTACATTTTCATTAGATTCTCTTTCATTTTGGGTAGTTGATCCATTTGTTGCTTTTTAGATACTTGATATGATCCAGAGACCTGAAGTAAAAATGTGACTTTTTATCCTCTTATTTCATGATTAATTTCAGTGATAAGAGGTTTAATTCTCAGTTAACTCCTCCATAATGGGGGTCCCTTAAAAGCATGCGTAAATGAAGCTGAAGAATACAGAAGATTTTAGCCTTTTCCAGTATTATCAAGCTTCTAAGGATTTTTGAAATATTCCTATCTCAGTCCCGCAGTTCATGTAATTTTAAAAATAAATACTGAAGAAACTATGAGATCCATATCATTTATGTGGTACAGATAATTGAAAGGTTTTGTAGAAAACACTAAATACCATAATACATGCACTTTGCCATTAGGATAGACAAGACAAAGATACTGCAGGTATGTTGAAGCAGAAACAGAAAGACAAGATAACGTTTTAATTTTTGTCTCTTTTAAAATTCCTTCAAAATATAAAAAAATGACATTTCTCTGGGTCACGCAAATCTGCAATTCAGGAACAACTGAGGTTGATGACCTTAAATGGCAACTGAAGCTACTAACTGAGTGAATTAAATCATTCATTAAGGACACATAGAGAAGTAAAAGCTATAATATAAACTTGAGAAAGCAACTTTTAAGGGTTAGGAAAATCATCAAACAGTAAGAAAATTCAGAAAAAAATATTGTCATGAGCTAGCAGGTAGCACGGTGGTTAAGGCACTGGATCCCACAAGGCCAACTCTCTGGTTCCAATACTAGACCTGGCGACCTGAAAAACATGCCAGGTGCATGTGCGTGCATGTCTGAAGTTCTGATAGAATGGAGGAGAAGGCCAGTCCCCCAGAGAGTGATTTCTCACTTTCTTTCTCTGTCTCTCTTCAGAAATCAACGCATCCTATGGCACAATTAATTAATTAATTAATTGTAATAATAAATACTGTCAGGACCAGCAGATGGCATAATGGCTATGTTGCTGGACTCCCATGTAGTTGACCATGATTTGAGTCCTGGACCTGGTGGCTTAAATGCACGCTGGGCATATGTGTGTGGGTGTGCCCAAGATCCCAAGAGGAGAATGGAAGAAAAGGGATTATGGATGGCCATCCCCCCAAGGGGTGATTTCTCACTTTCTGTCTCTCTGTCTCTGTCTTTCTGGCAAGCACACGCACCCTATAGCAAAAACCTCTCAAAAAAAAAAAAAATACTGTCATAGTGTGGGCATTATTGAAAGGAGTTTAGTCAATAGTATAAAATGCCTCCAACATTTCTAATATCATGAGGCTTGAAGGGAGTCATTGCACTTCGCTATTAGAAGATAAACTGGGCCAGGGTATGATGTGGTCAGAAGAGAAATGAAAAGAGGTCGTGGAGTGAAAAACAAAAGTAGTGAGTCTATACATTTTTTCACGAAGCTTGACTGAGCAAAAGAAAGCTAAGTAATAGTTTTATATGGAGAGTCAGGGTAAAATAAATTTGTTTTTGTTTTGTTTTGGTACAGACAACATTACAAGCAAAGGATAAGCCTCCACCAATGTAAGAGATATTAAACATAGAAGAGGAAATAATTATTAAATTAGTCCTAGAGGCAACAGATAGGCTTGGAAAGAAATTTGGCATACTTTTTCTTTAAGATGGGAGGAAGGACAGAAATAATGGGTAAATATGTGGATAAGTTTGAAGGTAAAAGAAAGGCCAGCTGGATTTCACACCTGTTGAACTCTCTTTTCTTTTTTTAAGAATTATTTATTCAGGGGACCAGCAAGTGGCATAATGGTTACATTGCTGGACTCACACATAGTCAACCACAGTTCAAGTCCTGGATCCAGCTGCTTAAACTCACACCAGGCGCATGTGCATGCATGCCCAAGATCCCAAAAGGAGAGTGGCAGAAAAGGGATTGTGGCATGGTCATACCCCATGGGGGGTGACTTCTCGCTTTCTGTCTCTCTGTCTCTGTCTCTCTGGGAAATGCACATGCCCTGTAGCAAAAATCTTTTTAAAAATTATTTATTCAATTTTATTTGTTATCATTTTTTAAATTTACTATAGGGCATGTGCACTCAGCAGAATGAGAGAGAAAGTGAGAAAGCAAGCTGCCAAGTCTAAGACTCAAACCACAGATGGCCATGTGGGAGTCCAGCGCTTTAATCACCATGCCACAACTTGCTGGTCCCAAACTCTCTTCTCTGTGAGGTTATGATACAGATTACTTGCCAAGACTGATAGGCTTAGATGCACTGGAACAGAAAATGAAATTTATTCACTCATTCATTCAGCAAATGTTATTTAACATCTACTATATGTCCCAGTACATTAAGCACTGAGATACAAAAATAAATAAGTCATAGCTCTATCAGGGAACCAAAAATAGATGATTACAATTAAGTGCCTTCTCAGAAGTTTACACAGGCCCTTTTTAAGCATATAGGAGATGCAACTGATTAATGCTTTAGAGGCAGCACCACATGAACAGTAATCAATTAAGAACTA